GGGGCTTCGGTGAGGGGTGGAGCCTCGTCGGTGGGCGGGGCTTTGTGGGACCCGGCTGCGTCTGGTTCCGCCCCTGCTAGGAATTACCCCGCCCATTTCCGAGGACGTGAGACCGGAAGTATGTGGAAGTTGTTTTTCTCGCTCGGAGGCTGAACCGTCCTTCCCACCTGGTGTGAGCACGTTGATAATCGGTGGATTAAGTCCCTGAAGTGCAGAAAAGGAAACTGAGGGTCAGAGGTAGCAGGGGACTGGTCTCACAGTCACTGAGGGCTCTGCCTTCTGAGCCTCTGTGGCTGCCGCAGAACCCCGAGCCCATTTTGGCTCATATTTCCTGGGGTGCAGTCTAAATGTTTATAAGTCCCACCATTGCCTATTCAGCAGCATACTAATGTTGCATTGTGTGCACGTTAAAAGTATCACTTTGTAGCTCTGGCCGGTGTGGCTCAGTGGCTAGAGCGTCAGCCCGTGCACCAAAGGGTCGCCAGGTCAAGGGCATATACCTGGGTTGTAGGTTCCATCCGGCCCTGCCAGGGTAAGTGAGGGAGGCAAGCAATCAATGTGTCTCTCTCACATCAATGTTTCTCTCTCCTCCCTCTTTTCCACTCTCTAAAAAAAAATTTTTTTTTAAGTATTACTTCATAAAGAGCAAACATTAAATAAACCATAATTCTAGTTGGAACCCTGAATTGAATGTTTTACATCCCAGTATCCTCAAAACTGGAGGCACCATGGCCTCTCCCCCTGGCAGCCCTGGCCCCATCACACCCAGCACAGGAACCCATGCCTGCAGCCACCCAGCCCAAGGGGTGGGTGGGAGGAGCTGATGGCCTAGGGGCACTGGGGTAGGCCGGAAGAGCCTCAGAGAGGAAGGGGTGACCCCCCCCACACACTGGGGAGGGGCCCCCCAGTGGGTTGCTGAAGCTGTGGCTGAGGAGGAAGTGAGAGGAGGAGGTGAGGTGCAGCAGGGAGGTAAGCTGGGCTGTAGGGACAGGGGCCGGGCCTGGGGCTGGGTCTCTGTACAGAGGCCTGGCCTTTCTGCCACTTCAGGGCCTACCCCCTCCAGAAGAGGGGACAGAGGGGCTTGGTGAGATACCCTGAAACCTCTTCCCTCCACCCCGCAGCTAGGTTCTGGGGCTGGGGCCTGGCTACATGGGAGCCCAGGCCCCAGGCTGGCCGGGAACTGCCCTTCACACTGGCTTTCCTCACATCTCACAGCCTGCTGCATCGAGGGTCTGCCGCAGCATGGCCCAGGCCCTAGGTGAGGACCTGGTGCAGGCTTGTGAGCTGCAGGATGACTCCAGCTCTTTGGGGTCTGACTCAGAGCTGAGTGGGCCGGGCCCATATCGCCAGGCTGACCGCTATGGCTTCATTGGGGGCAGCTCAGCAGAGCCAGGGTAAGTGGGGAAGGAAGAGGGGCGAGGGTGCTGGGATTAAGGATTGGGGCTGAGGGGTGAATTGCAGAGTGAGGCCCAACCTCAAGGGTCTTGAGAGGGTCTGGGGACTCAGCCAGTAGAAGCCTAAGGATGGCAGGGCTGGGGTGGTGTGTCCAAGTATGTCTCTCTTACTCCCAACCTCCGAGAGTTTACACCCACCCTTGGAGCCAAAAATCCTTCCCCTTTCATTGTCCGGCCCAAGAATCCCAAATCTAAACCATAGAAACCCACACCTTTTCCTCCACCATCCCCCTTTCCCAATATCCAGTTAGGATAACAAGCCCAGAGACACAAAGGAACTTGCCTGAGGTCACACAGCAGCTCAGAGACAGAACCAGACTCAAACTCAGGACTCCTGGCTTCTAGTACAGGGCTCTGTCCACTCAGCTTCTGCTATGAATTGTCCGTGTCCCTATCCTGGGGGACAGCCAACCAGCCCCTCCCCCAACACACACCTACACACCCCCTTCAGTCTTTCCTGCTTCCGCCCACATCCGAGCCACATCCTTTCCTGTCTCCATGACAACTACTGGCAACTCCTGGGTGACAGGTCACCCCCCAGTGGCTACCCAGGTTGCACGGGAGTGGCAGATGTGGGCTCTAGGTAACAGCTGCCCTGCACCTGGATGTCTGTGCCATGTGCCCCCAGGCCAGGTCACCCTCCTGCAGACCTTATCCGCCAGAGGGAGATGAAGTGGGTGGAGATGACTTCGCACTGGGAAAAAACCATGTCTCGGCGGTACAAGAAGGTGAGAGGGACAGTGACCCCACCCAGGCCTCCTTTACCCCTCCTGGGCCCAGCACCTCTGCCTTTTCTCCCTACCACCCAAAGGGGACCTTGCCCCATGAAGGAGGAGCAGGGGAGGCTGGCCCGGCTGGCCTACTGGGGTCCCTTGGCCTCGCCCGCAGGTAAAGATGCAGTGCCGGAAGGGTATCCCCTCAGCCCTGCGTGCCCGGTGCTGGCCCCTGCTGTGCGGGGCCCACGTGTGTCAGGAGAACAGCCCTAATATTTATCAGGTAAAGGAGTTGGCAGGGGTCCTACCCCCCCCCCAAAGCCCCTCGCCATGCTGAGCTCTCACGTCCACCCTCCTGCCCACCCACAGGAACTGGCCGAGGCCCCAGGAGACCCACAATGGATGGAGACCATCGGCAGGGACCTGCACCGCCAGTTCCCTCTGCACGAGATGTTTGTGTCACCCCAGGGTCATGGGTACGAGGCCGGTGATGCCTAGGGATACCCAGCCTTACAACCCCAGTCATTTGGTCTAGCCCCCCCCCCCC